AATTATCATTCAGAACCTCTCTGCTATATTCTATTTGACAGACAGATAGATGAATAATATAATCATACAATTCACATAATTTCTTGAGCACTTCATGAAATATTTTATATAAAATAGTGAGTATTACATATATCTATTATAAATGATTTATATTTACTTTGATATTGTATTTGTGAAATGATGAAACATCTCCACAGTATTTCTATATGCTATTCTTTAAATGATTATATATAGAAAAATCAAAAACTTCTATTCAATATGAATAATGAGTGAATCTGTCAGCTCTTTGATATTTGTATAATTCTGTAATTAATTGACAAGCTTCAAGAAAATGTCAGACTTCATCCACATCATATTTTTCAATCATTGTTTATAAGAATTCAGTTCAAAAAAATTGGAGGTAAGATTCATTTCATAGAAAGAGTCTTTATACATGAATTGAATTTCAGAAAATATTGAAAAAATGCTCTGAGCAACAAAATGAACAGCAATTTAAATGATTAATTAATGATGTTAATATAACAGTACTTATTTTAATTGTTCATTCTCATGTTCATTATCGGAGTTCTCCATGACATCATTCATCATATCACTAATAGTAGTTTTCAATTTAAAAAATCAATAAAAGATGATAAGAAATCAATCTGCACCTCACTACTACACATCTTATATAAGATAATACCATATTAAGAGAAGAAAAAAGAATACCCCTAATATTCATCAAGATGTGATAATATTTTTTTTGAAGAAGATGAGATTTGAACCCATTACTCTTTTTATCTCAGCAGAGGTGGCCTCAACACCAAGTGCTTATTTGAGAAAGCATTTCATGAACAGTGCTTATCACTACGCCATCCAACCCCCCTCTAACGAGAATATGGTGTGAATGAGAAAGTGGTGAATTACATTAGAAAAAGATATATATAAATTATTTGAAAGAAGTGAATATTTTTGAAGATCTTTCTAACTTATTAATTTGTGATATATGGCAAAAGATCAATGTAACTATTTGTCAAATGATTGTGCTGGCCCGGCTCACAACGGCCCATAACCATACATCCTCATCTTCTATCTACTGCAAGCATCAGTTAGTTGCAGCATAGTGTAGGAAGCACAAATTTTTATCAAATATTTTCTAATATTGAAAAACTATCTTTATGAAACTTAACAGTTTATATTTTATCTATATAAAATTAGTAACTTTTATCTTATAAAGTTGTTAAGATATGAAATAGTAGAAAGTTGAAATTTGTCAAGATAGTTCATTTATATAACTCGTTTACTTATCCCCTCATCTGACCACTAGAATACAATTAATGCAATATTATTAATGTAACAACTAAGCTGTTAACTATGAAGTATCAATCAATAATTTTTCATATTAAATTCTATATAATTTGATTTGTTGATATCTTTTCATTATCTTGTATTTTTTACTCTACACATTCTGCAACTTTATAACCTTCTCATATTCATTGCAGATGCAATTATTATTCACTTTGAAATAAAAATATAATGTTTGTAAATAATTTTCAATTCTTCAATACTTCTTTTAATTGATTAACTGATTTTTTTTATTAGCTAATATAAAAACAGATATAAAATAAAAATAATTTATTAATGAACTTCTTATAAACATTTTATGTTTAAAAAATATTAAATTTAAACTCATGAAATCTTCTTATCATTCTTCAGTTGTTAATTTATTCAATGATATTGATTTATAAAATCCATTCATCTTATTTTTTTTCTATATTTAAAGGATGTGATATTCAGAGTATTGTCTGTTCCATCAATGTTAC